GAGAAGGAGGAACAATCTCCTCCTGTACCAGTCAGATCTGATTTGACGGTACACACACACAAAATAATAAAACTAAAAAAAAAAAAAAAAAAAAAGAATCGACTCAATAGCCACTGGTCTGGTTAGTTTCTGATCTGATCTGTCCAAATCTCTTATTCACCTTGTTACCGAGTTGTTGTTTTTTTTTAAAGTGGTTTTAAGAGTTCATTGTGGGGTAGGAAAGTTAGACTACAGTTTGCTATAAATGGTAAAATATATGTCAATAACTTGTAATTTGATTGTAGTCAAATTATTAATTTTTCCCCCCAGTTTTAGTTGCTGGGTTTATGACATTCTCAGAAAGGTCTTCCAAACCCCAAGATCAAAAAATACGTAGGTTGTAGTTTCATTCTAGTGTTTAAGTATGGGTCCCTCAAGAGTATAACTGGAAGGGAGCTCTGGTGGCCTAGTGGCAAGAAGCTGCACTGCAATACCAGAGGTACACGGTTCAAACCCACAAGATGCTTTGCTGGAGAAGGAGGGGCAATCTTCTCCTGTACCAGTCAGATCCGATCTGACGGTACACACACAAAAAATAATTTTTTTTTTAAAAAAAGAGTGTGGTTGGGGGAAGGAGAGCAGTAGGCATGGTGGAGAAGGAGAGGGGATCAGCTTGGTTTCCCCTAAAACTCCCAAGAGGCAGACACCACCCCCCAGGTGGGCCAGCTCACAGCAGCCTGGGGCCTGATGTCTCCTACAGGCAGTTCCATAAGGCAGAGGACCACTTCACATTGGCCATCCATCACAACCCCCAGAAAGCCCAGTACTACCTGCAGCGGGCCAAGAGTCGACTGCAGCTGCAGGACTTTTTTGGGGCCCGCCAAGATATTGCCACTGTCCTGTTCCTTGAACCTAACCAACCACAGGTAGGTGCCTGCAGGGCTATGAGGTTAGGTTCCAAAAGCAACAACCCTGGCCATCTAAAGATACTTCCTTTCCCTAAAAGAAATATATTCTGATTATTATAGTAAGAGTTATGAAAACTTGCTAGGGACATCTGGTGGCCTAGTGGTGAGCAGCTGTGCTGCCAATCCACCAGCTGCTCCATGGGAGAAAAATGGGCAACCTCTTCCTGTGTGTTTTACTGCCTCTGAAAATTCACTGGAGGGTCAGTTATGAGTTGGTTCTGACTTGACAGTACTCAATAATAACAACACAACATGGCTTGGACATTCACTGCATGCCAGGCACCGTCCTAACCACTTCAACTTGTAGCACCCTGCTTACCCCTCTTCACCACCCACACGATGGGTATTTATTGTTGTTGTTTGTTGTTATGTGCCGTCGAGTCACCTGCGACTCATAGCGACCCTATGTACAACAGCCCTAAACTCCACTCTGTCCTGTGCCAAT